TATTTCATTTGAACTAAATCTTTATTTATTATATCTCTTTGCTTAGTTACTATGTTGCACCGATACGAATACGGCGACACGATACGGATACGGGACACGTCAATTCTTAAAAATACAGGGGTATGGATACGACGCGGACACGACATTATAATTTATAAATCATACATAAAAATTAAGAAGAAATCAAAGCATAATATTTGAAATTACAAAAAAATGAAAGTAACATCATTTGTAGCCTTGTAGCTTATAATATCAAAATAAAAGTAAGCATTAAGTGTCTAGTACAGCAACAAAAGCATAAACATAAATTATCTAGCACATGAAGTTTGAACTATTCAGTAGAAGGAATGATATGATTAGCTTCTTCAATGGTTTGTCTTTGAACTTCTATATCATCTTCAATAAATATCATAACTTCTAATTCAAGTTCATCAAGTGAAAGATTAACAATTTCTAATATTAAGCATGTTGTCTTTGCTGCCTAAAAATAAATAAAATAACAATTTCCAATATTTCCATATCATCAAGAGACTCAAATCCAACTCGGAAATGAGAGAACCTTGCTCGCAGCCGCGGAAGTAAATATGACTGGTCTTTTTTTCATATTTTTTTGTTTTTCAATGAACACGCATATCGGATACGCGTGTCCTTTTGAAATTAAGTAGTATTTTAATTGGATACGACAAAGTCGTATCCGACACGTATCGGAGGCATATCCGTGTATCGGTATATCGGATACAACATGCCTTCATAAATAGGTGTATCGTTGCAACATAGCTTAGCTAACTAATATATGCATCTTTCATCCTCATTAATATCTAATCTATTATAGAAATTACTAGAAGTGAAATTTTTTAGACTTTCATTGTAATTTTTTATATCTTTCCCAATTTTTCAAACTTTTATATTTAAATCAATTTTTATAATAAATTATTTTATTTTAATCTTTTCTTGCACATTTTGATTTTACTATCAACTATTTGGAGCTTTTTTTATTTTTAAGAATAAAGGTGATGCACAAGATTGTGCGAATTATAGAGGTATTAAGTTAATGTGTCATACTTTAAAACTATGGGAGCGAGTTATGGAGCATAAGTTGCGGCGTGATACTAATGTTTCTCAAAATCAATTTGGATTCATGACGGGTAGGTCGACTATGGAAGCCATACATTTATTAAGAGGTTTGATGGAGAAATATAGAGAAAATAAGGAGGATCTAAATATGATATTTATTGATTTAGAAAAAGCATATGATAAAGTTCCAAGAGAAGTGCTATGGAGAGTTCTTGAAAAGAAATGAGTCAATAATGCTTATATTCAATCATTAAAGATATGTATGCAGGAGCTATTACTTGTGTTCAAACACAAGGTGGATTGACCAAAGTATATTTCGGTTGGGTTACATCAAGGATCATCCTTAAGCCCATATCTTTTTGCTTTAGTCATGGATGTTTTTCACTAGACATTTGTAAGATGAATGTACCTTGGTGTATGCTTTTTGCTGATGATATTCTTCTTGTTGATAAGACTGGAGAGGGAGTTGAAGTTAAACTTGAATTATGGAGGTCAAACCTTAGAGTCTAAAGGTTTTCGCTTGAGTAGATCTAAAATGGAATATATGGGAGTGTAATTTTAGTAGTAATAGACCTAGTGGGGGATTGTGACTTGAGCGATCAAGTCATTATATAGAAGTACCGTTTTAGATATCTTGGATCTATTGTTCAGAGATGAGGTGAAATAGATGGGAGATATTATTAGTAGAATTCCAGTTGGATGGTTGAAGTGGAGGAATGCATCGGGCTTGTTATGTGATAGAAATGTACCCCTCAAACTTAAGGAAAATTCTATAAGATGGTAGTGAGGCCTGCAATGCTTTATGGTGCGAATGTTGGCCCATTAAAAGAAGCATAAATACTAAGTTAATGTGTGGTAGAGATGAGGATGCTCAGGTGGATGAGTGGCTTTACCCTTAGAGATAGAATATGAAATGAGCATATACGTGAAAAGGTTGGAGTAGCTCCAGTAGAAGATAAGATTAGAGAAAGTCGCCTTAGATGGTTTGGTCACATAAAACGATGGCCTTCCGATGACCCGGTTAGGAGAGTAGATGTATTAGATTTGACTTATGTTAAGAAAGGTAGAGGCAGACCTAAAAAGACTTGGTTAGAAAATATTAGGAATGACCTTTCTTTATTAGATTTAAACGAGAATTTGACTTTTAATAGGACACAATGGAGAAAAAGGATTCATGTAGCCGACCCCACGTAGTGGGATAATTGTTGTTGTTGTTGTTATAACATTAGCTTACTCATAAACATTTCAAATCTTAAGATCTTGAGTCTTACTCAAAAATATTTTTATTGGTGTTCTTTAAATACCTCATATAATCCTAAGATAATATTTTTCTTTATTTTTCATTTTGCGCACCTTCATTTTAAAATCTTAATAAAGCGATGATGGGTACATATATTTTTACTTAGATTGACTTTACAATCTTTGTGATAGGAATTATCTACTTTTTGATAATAAAATAATTAATCTAAAATTGACAATGTCTTTTCTTATAAGTGATAATGTTATTCTCTTTTATTAAAAAAATATTAGCAATTACAAAATTATAAAGTAGAGCAAAAACTTATTTGGTCATACTATCTTTATTAGTCGCTCCAAACTCATATTCACAATGAAATATTTTAAAATCTTCTATTACTCTACCAACATATTCATTATTCTATTTAAATTACCTTTAATAAAAGTTCTTTATTCAAAAGGTATTCTTTGTATTAATTCTTTGAAGTCATTCTAAAATTTTATTTTTTAACATATATCCAAATCTATTTAAGGAGCATAAGTGCTTATGTTTTTAATGATCATAACAATAATAATAATATTTAAAATTATAATTCTATCTTCAATATTTTTTTAATTTCTATAATATTATCTTTCAAATTCTTATTTATAATTACACATATACCATTTCTAGTATAGCGTTTATCCGAATATCATAGTTTGAATCCTAATATATAGTATATCTATCTTCCTATAAATCAAAATATCTATTAATACTATTAATTTGTTTATAGGAGTACATATATTTCAAATTCTTATCCTAATATTAGTTTCATGGACCAGCCCTTTTTGGCCCAAATCCATCCTTGATGTGAGAACTTATGCTTATTTAATATTATATCCGGGCGTCAGTGCAGCGACCTATTGAATCTCATTTTATCCGGTGGATAATGTGAGGTCTTATTGATGTTGGGTCGTACTTCATGCTACCTGTGGACTGAGAGCCTATGGGGAGAATGTAATGAAGTTTGAATTTGAAGAAAAATATAGAAGATGAGAGACAGTGTAGATCTAGGCAAAATCTTTTTATCCAAGCTAGAGATTCAAGAATATTGATAGGGAGAGCTCTAAACTGCAGAGCTTAAGCTAAGAAACGGAAAATGACACATCTTTCTTCTCTTGTGGGTTTGATAATGAATTATCATGTTGTCTCGTTTCTCTTTTTGTGTGATCTCTTTTCCCTCGTCCTATGTGATCCTCTTCCTCTTCTTTTGTGTTTGTCGTCCCTCTCTTTGTGTGTTCCTCCTGCCCCCCTTTTATAGGGCTTGGAAAGGTATGGGGAGTATGCTCTTAGTATGGTGCCTGACCCATCACTCTTTATTGTAGTTCGGTTGTCAATGCCGAGTGGGATGGAGATTGAGAAAGGAAACCGTCTATACATCGATTGGAAGCTGATCCGAGATCCCCTTTTGAGATGTAAAGGGGCTAGTATCGTTGGAGTGTGGTCAGGTGAACAAGCTGGCGTAGAACAAAAAGTGGATTTTTTGTCGCCCAGTTGAGATGAGAAATGGTGAGTAGCATCTTGATGATGGGGCCTTCAGGTTGACCTAATTGTGAGAGAGGTTTGTAGCGGTGATGTGTGCCATTAGTTGTTCGATTTATCTCGTGTGGGAGTCTTAACTCTGACCAAGATGAATAAAGATATGTTTGTCTGAGAATAACTTTTAGGGTCGTTCCTGGCGGCGCGTGCCGGGGGAGGGACTGCCAAGAAGAGTTTGCTGGTGCTGGTCTATCGTGCTCCAGTGATAAGCTCTTTTTTAGCTTCCTGAGGGAATCCCTCGAACGAACTTTGGTCCTAGAGAGGAGTTGCTCCTCCTGCTTGCTTGAATGTAACATGCAAGACAACTTCGAACAGGTACTTGCACAGGCAGTCATGATTATTCGATAAATTTTATGCTGGCTGTTGACTACCCTACGCACAACCCTCCACTTTTATCATCCAGAGTTTGAGACCGACAACGACAATGTTAAATCCACTAATGGTTAATTTTCTATAATTATAAAAGAATTTGGTTAGCATTCGTGGAAATCTATCATGAACTATATTTGAGATCAGAAATGCTAGTTATAACTATAATTTATTTTTTAATTTATATTTTCTGAACTCTATATTAAAGAGCAGAAATGAATTATCTCAACTTAAAAAAAAATGGATGTATCATAAATTCCATGACTTCGGTTGAATTCAATAGTCGTTTAACAAAAATTCTAATACATAAATTTTTTACAATCATGATTGTCAGTCTTAAGCTTTGATGAAAAATATTGAGAGTATTTTAAAATTGTACCTTTTCAATTTTTTTTTTCAGCATATCATATATACCTGGTTTGTATTAATTTTAAGGTTGTCTCACTTATATATGCTAGTGCAGCTCTCGTTGATGTGTTGGTTGAAAGTTTTAGCTACCAATTAAGATATTTTGAATTTAAAACATGCGCATATGATGTATGTGTTTGCCTTAATTAAGTTTTAAAAGAAAACTTGTACATGCTTTCTTATATTTCTGTTGATATGGGTTTAGTTTTAGTTAAGGACCAAGGAGTTCAAAGAAATGATGGAAAAGTTTTCAATGGTTTGTTTTTCTGGGTTAATGGTTTTAAAAAATTTGGCATTTATATTAACTCGTTATTGTGATGAGGAAATTTTACAGAAACGAGATGCACCTGCGGGTGAGAAACCTGAGCCGGTGAGGACTCACCTCCGCAACATGATAATTGTTCCGGAGATGATTGGAAGCATTATTGGAGTTTATAATGGAAAAACTTTCAACCAGGTTGAGATAAAGGTGCGTTTATTTTTGTGTGCCGTCATTAAAACATTGTAGGGATATTGACTATGGAATCTTTGGGATTTGATGAAATTTAATGCACACGGATACCTCTGTTTTCTCAAGCTTTTGTTCTGCCGTTTGTATCTGGTTTTTAGGGATACCTTTAAGCTTAGGATGACATTTTCATTTGTTCTCACTTGTTTAGCGTTTCATGTTGCTCAATAGTTAGCTAGCCATGAAAAAGAGTAGTTTTTTATCTGCATGTTTGTCTTGTTCCCCGGCTTGTTTTAAATATTCCTTTCCCACTTCACTTGTTTATTTTTGGAATTTACTGTTCTCTTATAAAATGCCTTATTTGTCAATTTGTTTTTCACATCTGCTTAACCAAACGTTGCGAATCGAAGTATTGGATAAAAATTATCTTCCAGCGAATCAGCATTTTTAAGTTTCATCAACATTGTCATTAGCTCTTGTCCAGTTGTATTGAATTGTATACTCAGCTCCATTCTTGCTGATTTTTACTACCATTCTTAGGTCTAATTTATGATAAATAAATTCTGCTCAATCCATTTTGGTTTACAGCCAGAAATGATTGGTCACTATCTGGCGGAGTTCTCCATCTCATACAAGCCTGTTAAGCACGGTAGGCCTGGTATTGGTGCAACCCACTCATCCAGGTTCATTCCACTGAAGTAAACGAAAGATGAGGAATCTTGGAACAAAGAAACTAAGAAAGAGTTTTTGCTCCTTGTTTTATATTGCTTTTTAGAAATGGTTGCTGATGATTTTTCTTACTTTTGAATTGGTGATTTATTACTTCTCAAGAGGGATGTTTTAGAATTGATATTTCGGGTTTTATATTCCAGATTGAGTATGAGGTTATTTTGTATGAATTTTCAGGTTACATTTCCATGATTTAACCGTCTTGTCTAAAATATTAATGCCAAGATAATGTCTTGGTTATTATTGTTATGCTCTCTGCATTTTGTTGTTGCTGTTGCTATTTGGGCAACTATATCTGGTAGGCTGTGGCTTCCTATAAATATTGCTTCTTTCTATATCTGATCTTAAGGTTTCTTTCGAAAGCTATTATGGAGAATGTTTGCTGATTTTGTCGGCTAAATTTGGTGTAATCTAAAACAAAAAATTGAACGTTTTATTTATTTATTTATATATAGATGTTAGGTTATGCTCGCTGTTGGAAGCAAGCGTTCGTTTGGATAAACGGGTGCGTATTTGCTGTTTAGATTGCACAAGTGGTTTCTTGTATAATGAAGCTTGCATACCATTTTAATATTGGAGCGCTTATTTGGCACTTTTTTTTACTATTATTAGATACTTCCTGAAATTTTGACAAACTACGCCATGTCCATTCTTTTATTTTAATATATTTGAAGCAAAAACCCTCTTTAAACTGTGAATGTTGAAGTATCAAGGAATATTCATTCAACTCTTTGGTTGGCAGAGCAAAAGAGCAAATGCTAAAACTAACTATTGAAACAAATCAATATTAAAATAAGGTATAATGAGTATCGAAGGAGCGAAAATACCACCAATATTTACCTTATAATGGCATTTTCTTTGATTACAAACTAGGATGGACCATTATAACTTTTTATTTACATAGTATGATTATTTCAACAGATTCAAGCCTCATGATTTCTTTCAAATTTTCTATATTGAATACTCTATTACAAACCCAGTCTACCCGTCGGCTTGCACTGAATTGTAATGGCCATCTGTTACAAATACTAGCACATAGTAGTATATACGATATAAATGATTTTCAATCTGTACTTTCTCTATGAAACTGTAATAAATAAGTTTGTTATTCCCAACAGGATAAAAATAATTTAGTTTTTACAAAGCACACTTAAACAAATGCAGAAAAAACAGCTTATTTGATAAAAAAGAGTGAACTTGAAGATAGGGCTTGCAGCAATTGCTATCAGTTATCGGATACCGGCAACTTAACAATGTTCAGGAAATGCTCTTCCATTGCTTACTATATGTTCTTTAATGATTGAGGTTTTATTTGGGATGATTTTTTTACTGTTTTGTAAAGTTATTTTTTAATATAAAATTCTATTGAAAGCAAAAAAAATTAGTGATCTAAAGCTATCCCAAATGAAGCCTAAATCATGCGCATCAAACCTTGCGGGTTTCATAATCCTGGCTAATTACTAGAGGATGAACTTGTTTGGTCTTTATATCCATTTATAAAAGCGGACATGAAAATTAGAATTTAGAAAATTAAATTGAGACTTTCTCAATTTTAATTTTCTTAATAAATAATTTTTTTTTAAAATATGAAATGAAAAAAATTTTACGAAAATGTTGCCTGAGATCGTAAATCATTTTCTTTGAAACGTCGATTGAGATCGTAAGCCTTCTTCTTCTAATCACCTCAGCAAATATATTTTAATGAGTATGTACATTCAATCAATTACTGATGCACACTTTTTTTCTTAATGCAATTTTTGTTCTCAATACAATTTCATCCTTAAAAAAAAAAGACTAAGAGACTCATATTTTTCATTCAAAGTTCACATCTTATCTATAATGACACATCATAATCTTTATCTTTTAAAATTAAAAGATATTTATAATGACATATCATCATCTCATGGAATTTTATATAATATAAATAAAAAGTGTTATTATAATATAAAGGTGTTACTAATGAAATCATAATTTAACATTTATATTATGTCGCATTATTAACAATAATGTTCAATCAATTTATATATAATAGTGCTAAGGTGTTGAAGAAGTGACCGATGAACCTATAATTCAAGCTCCAAAAAATTTGATCATTATTTTAACTTTTAAACTAATAAATCAAAATTATTAATTTCAATATTATTAAACTATAAATATGAAATTGCACTTTTGAATTTATAGTATAATTTATTCAATTTAAAAGATTGAATTTTTCATTGATTTAATCATTACATATAAACAATCATCCATAAAAAGTTCATAATTAGAGTTAGATAATTCTGTCATCTCGCTAATTATATCTTGATCCTTAAATTCCAATTAATTCTCTAATGAATAATAAACTTTTTTACTGTATCACAAACTTTGAGCGATCAATTGTTAAGATTCTAAATTAACTATTAAATGGAATTAATTTTCTAATTTTCAAAAATGAAAAGGAATGGATTCCATATCTATTTATTAACATATCTATCCATTTGTTTTATTGTGTTTCTAAGATACAATTCTTTCAAATTATTTCTGAGTAAGTCAAGAAACCAAATGTTACAAATAGAAGTTTATTAATAACTTAGGACTATGATTATTTTATATATAATCATTTTTATGATTAATTTTAAATTCTCTCTAGTTAAAATAAAATTTATTGGAGAATTCAAAATTTATCTAATATAGTTCTATATAATCATATTATATAAATTACCTCAATCCTTAATATCTCTATATCAAATAATCCAGATAAGACTACTCCATTTTTAATGTCGATGAATGTACTAATAAAATTAAATTATAGATTCCAACTATAATTAATAATTATATAGTTTTTTAGATTATTATCTATAATTCAACAATCTTGTATATAATTATACACTAAATTATAATTACATAAAGAATCATGGAATAAATATAGTCATTGTTGCGAGTAGAATATACGCAGCGATAGAGTTAAAAACTTTTGCCTCAGCGCTGTACATATATCCAACACATAAACATAAGGGAGACAAAATATTATAATTTTTATGTGGAAAATCCTTGAAAAAGGAAAAATCATGGGGCCTCGCCTAATTGAAATGATTCCATTAGTGTTTGATTAGATTACAAGTGACTAACTCAACCTTGAAATTGAGAAGGATCAGATTACAATAGTCAATCATCGGGTTGAAATAAGTTACAAACAGAGATAAAAAATTCGACAATATTTGGTGTTCGAGCGGAAATCCGGCTTCAAATGACGGTCTGGCAGAAGTTCGACATCAGTCGGAAATCGGGTAGAAGTCCGACGCCAGTCAACAACCGGGTAAAAGTCTAGCGGGGACTTTGTCCCCTTTGAGGATCAATGATGCTCTTCCTTAGTTCTTGTCCTTGGAAGCTAAGGGTGCACATGCTACGTCTGGCGCAATGGGATATCTCTCAGCCTCCGGGCTGTTTTAAACCCTTTATAGGTATCTCCCCCCGCTGGAGTGGTTCTCAGTGCATTTTTAGCTTTTCTTGGGCAAGCAATTGGGGGGGGGGGGCCTCATTGTGATTCAAAGGGGCTTATCCTTGTCTTAGTTGCTTTCTTTTTTGTCGGTCATACTTGTATGGTTGAAGTTATAGTTTTAGACCTTCCCACTTTTATTTTTTGTCTTGGGAAGGAAGATAGTATTTCCATACTTGATATGTACTCTTTTCTCTTTTTCTAATCAATGCAAATGCAACTTTCAAGGGTAAAAGTCTAGCGATGGTCCAATAGGTGGCAAGAAAACCATAGTTTCTCTTCTTCCTTCTCTTCCTTGCTTCATTCTCTTCCTTCCTTTTCCCCCTTCCATCAGAAATGAGGGGACTATTTATTATTTTCTGAGAGTGACATATTCAATAAGTAGAAGGAAGATCAAAGGTAAATTTGAAATTGTTTGAATAAATGAACGATGTTGAAAACCTTGATCGTGGACGGCTTATTTAGCATTTAAATGTCTTAATAATATCAGAATTCAACGATCCTAGGCTCGTTGGATTTGTCTCGTCGAGCCGCTTGATTTGAATATGAGCATGTCACATTTATAAACTATCTGGTAATGCAAATTATGGTTTAAACCTTTCAAATGCGCTTTGACCTATTTGAGCGGTCAAATTTGGTGTCATTAGGTTTGTATTTTTGAGACGATCAGTTTGACTGCAAGTTTTCTCAAAATCAAAGTTCAAATGGTTTGAGACTTAATTTTTTTAAAGTTTCCAACTTGATTTTTCCTCAAGATTTGCGCTCGTTCAAGATAAAATTTTGATGATATATTAATTTCCCCTATATTTTTGGACATCGAAGCACTAGAAGTTTAAAACTATATGCCACAGCCTTTCAAATTACTAGATTTAGAAAAAAATATTTAAAAAATTATAAATTGGCTCAAATTTGATTATAGAAGCTCCATTGAGCTCCTAAAGTGCCAAAATTGAGTTTGAAATGTTGAAAAACGGCTACAGAGACACGAAAACCGTTCGATTTGGACTATTTGAGCCAAAAATTGGGTCCGAACATAAGTTAATAGCCTAACCGACTAATCAGCCGGCCACCGCGAGCCTCCAGTAGTGGCAGCACGTGCTGCCGTACATGAATAATTGTGCCCCTTCTAGTGCGCAGTGTAGGTAGAGCAACCAACTAACTGCCAACTGTAATTATTTAACTTAAATTTTTTTTTTCAATGGGGCCTATATCTTTTTTTTTTTGTTCGATTGACTGTATCAGCCCACCTCAATTAAAGAGGAGCCCAAAAATCTCAAAAATATTATAAAAGAAATTTAAAAAATAATTAAATAAAATAAGAGGGAAATTTCCTCCCCTTTTTTGAACATCACCCCCCCCCCCCCCCCCCCCCCCCAAAAAAAAAAAAAACTCCTCCTATAAATACCCCGCTAGGGTAGGGGGAAAATTGCTCCTCTCACTCTTCTTCCTTCTCCCTCTAACTTTCTTATAGTTGAGGCTTTCCACTATTTTTTATAGGTGGCATCCCCTACTAAAATTTAGTGCCCATCTTTTGTGTAGAAGTTAGAATTTTTTAGTCTTCTCCCTTCTTTTTCTCCCATTTTTCTTCTAACTCTAGAGGCTTTTCATTATTTTTTGTTGGTGGCATCCCCAACTAAAATTCAGTGCCCCTTTTTAATGTAGAAGTACAAATGGGTGATCATATATCCATCAAAATCCCCCTATCCAAAGGAGATCGCTCTATTGTCCAATTTTAGGCTCTGAAGAAGGCTCGTAAAATGGATAAAGTTGATGATGTTGCCTCCACTATCACTAGTGACTCCTTGATCAGTTTTAGGAAAAAAATTCACTTCCCTAATGATCTTG